ACATCCTGGGTCCTGGGTCCAGGCGACAAACATCACTGATGTGGCCGCCCTGCCCCCTCGCCCAGGTGACATCACCCCACGACTCCACATTGATCCGGGATCCATCAAGTCGCAGCACTATGGGTGTGCAAAGCTAAATGCGTTATCATTTTTACCACAAATTAACAGTTTCTATGTAAATATTGGTATTTCCTCACCCCACGAAGGTGAGAGGAGGCAAAATGGCACCGGCGCATTTGACTTAAACTAATTAAAAGCAGAGGGTCATGCAATTCAACGTACTGATTTTACCAGTGGGACTTAAATCTTTTATAATAAGTGTACACAGCTGCAGCGCTCTCCCACCGCCACGTTCTACAGGCTAATCCGTGCATTCCTTCTGACAATAACGTGACAGGTCCCACACATCCCTGCCTGTGCCCTAAGACCGGTGACACTGCCAGAGTGCATTAAAGCAGAGGCCGGCCAAAAAGCAGCCATGCCGACAGCCCCCGGCTAGGTCTGAAGAGTGATCGCCAAAGAATGAACGTGGCCAGCCACTTGGTGCAAAGGGCTCTCCATTCAAAATAGTCAGCTGGTGAAATGGATGGGCAGGCTGGGGAAGGGTGGCGGCTGGGGGAGTGTTAGGACACTCTGATTCTTGCAATGGGCCAAATATGACCTTACCCAATAGGGGGAAAAAAGATATTAAAGCGATAGGGGTGATCAATCAACTTAGATGAGGCTCTCCCTGGAATGAAGTCATCATCCTCTCCGAGCTCAGTGGACACGTGATATTCGCTCACATCGCAGGCACGCTGCTGGTCAAGGGTTCGCGGGCCAGCTGTGTTTATCCCGGCAGAGGCTTGACAGGCTACGACGCTACGGAAGGCCCCGACCCGAAAGCTCGCAGGAGCTGCGTCTCGGAAGCTGTTTCCTCTCTCTGTGCGTTCAGAGAAGCCCCCGCTTCGCTTCCCTAGGCCTCCTCCCTTACCCCTTCAAGGGCCGCCCCACAACCAAGTGACAACTCTGGAATAAACACCAAAACTGGCCACGCGAGCTGGCATCCAGGCTTCGGCCTTAACCTGCTCTGATTCCAGAAGGGAAATACAAAGACCCCCCCCCCCACCAAAGTTCAAACCTGGGTCACATATATCCTTGGGGGGAGGCGGGAGAAGATCTTTGATTTATATAAGCAGGAAAATGAGGTTTAAAAGAAGTGATGTTGAAAGGGTTACTAAAAACACAGCTGCTGGTGCACTCCTATAGCGAAGACACTGCAGAAAGAGAGAAAGAAAGAAAGAAAGAAGGAGGGAAGGCTGTGTGACATCTATATTAACCTCTGGCTGCTCACCAGTGAGGGCCGGCACTCCAGTGCTGGAATGTGGGGCAGCCCCTTCCAAATTTTAACACAAGCCAGGTTACAGCTGCGAGCGCCTGCAGCCTTGTGCTCCCTCGGCAGGCACTCCCTGCAGGAAAGTTTTAAACTGTAACAGAATCTTTTTCTAATACTCTACAGTGGTAGGGCCTGTTCTGAAGGGGCAAAAGGAGAGATCTTAATGCCAAACACTTGTCAACAAAAAGGATCGCCAGATGGTATAAAATAAAAGTAAAACTGAACAGCCTTCTCCCCACTCCTCGGCTACATTAACAAAAGCCACTTTTAGACACTGAGCCCAATAAGGATAGGTTTCTAACTTCCCCTCTTTTTAATTTAGCTTCAAAGATTAAACAAATGTAGTTCCTTCAGAACCTGGACAGAGATAAATGTGGGTCGCACACCCCCAGTACCAGGGGTTTCTTTAGAAGATCCCAAAAGGAGCTGCTGGATTTCTCCAAAGAAAGAAGCAGGGGAGGGCAGCTATCTTCGGGATTCAGTCTGCAGAACTCACATTGCCTGGGGACAGTTTAAGAGAGGGTAGCAGTCTGCACAGAGGAGTTGGGGGCTTGTTAATCCAAACCAGTTTACAAATCTCGCCATTGAACTTAAGAGGCCCAGCCTGGGAAGATGTAAGTCTCCCTCCGGCAGCTCAGCTAGCATTACAGGGGCTTTATTGTACAGGCTGGTCTTTGTCACAAGGTGCGGTCTGAGGTCCTCATTCTCAGCACCTGGTTTTGTCATAAATTCTCCTCTAGTTCCCTCTCTAGTTTAGATCCCACTCAGCCTGGCAAAAAGCTTGAATTCTGAGGAGAACGACTTAGAGGAACAAAAACCAGTTTGGCTGCAGACGGAAGACTAAACGCACCAGCCCCTGCAAAAGCCTTCAGACTTCAGGCCCAAGTCCCCCAGAGCACTGCAGGACAGCAGCGGTATGCAGTGAGGGAGGGAGGGGGTGCTGGAAGGAGGAGGGGGCTTTGAGGGGAGGAGAGGGTGGTGGAGAAAGTCAGTTTCCCTTCGAGGTCCCCCCCAGGTCCCCTGCAAGGTAACAAGTAATAGCTGCATATGAACAAACGACGTTTTTCTCACTCTTAGCAGAAGTGTGAGACTAAACGCATCTTTAGAAAACTTTGTATGTTACAGGTCAGTATGATCTGCAATTCAAGGAAAAATCGTGTGCTTTTTCTCAGCTTCCAAGCAGGTCTCCTACACGGCCCCTCCAACCCCACTGCTACCCCCCAGCCCCTCCTGTGGCAAAATCCCAGAACCCCACAAAATGGAAGGGACAGGCCGTTTATTCCCATGCTGCTGCCGAGCAGAAATTAAAGGGCAACCTTAGAAATATCTACAGGAAGAGTCTTGCCCAACTGCGGTCCAGGTCTTCACCCAACTAATTACCGAGAAAGTTTTAGGGACTGAGAAAGAAAGAAAACAAGGTCAGTGCACTCTGTGAAAAGCCACTCTGCCATCTAATTTGGAGTGATGCTCCAGAAAGCAAGACCTGAGAAAGTCAGGACTGTCCCACAAAGCCCAAAGCCAGCCTGACTGATTAAGAGGCTCAGACAAGCCGGTCTTTGTCTTTTCAAGATGAAAGAAATGGGACTAACGGGTTGAAAGGTGTGCGTACAGCCGGAGGAGGAAAACCACCCAGCTGTGGTCTTCTCAGACAAGTCCCAGCTTGCTCCCCGCTACCAAGGGGCAGCAAACAGCCCTGCCCCAAGTTTCCCAGAGGTGCCCAGGTGGCAACCTGGTCCTTTTCGGGCACGGGAGGAGCCCGTGTCTGGCCACGCGGTTGGTCCGTAAGCAGCGGGGTGCTTTCTGCACTGCGTTTGCAGAGCCCTCCACAGAAGCCAGGGCTTACAAATACCTTTTTAATGACCTCAGCCAGGCTCTGAAGGCCGCCACTGGGACCTGCTGGCATTCACTGGGAGTCACAGGTATCCAACAGAACAGAAGATACAATAAATCCCCAGCCAGAGAAAGGGCCCTGGTTAACCCCTGGCTTCAGGATGGATACAGAGCTCTGCTTTAATTAATTTATTTATATGTACGTATTTGGGATTTTTCTTTAGCTTCTAGTATAGGTCACAAATACACATTGAAAAAAAAAATCATACACAAAACTGCAGACAATGAAAAATCAGGCCCCAGCTCCCAAATCCCTAAGGCCCCAGCCCCAGTTCTGCCCTGCCCCCATAAAATCTATTTCCAATCCATGGCGTCTTCCTCCAGTGGGAAAGCATGATATACAAGCACGTATGTAACCTCACTGATCTGCACCTTGCTTTTTTCCACCCCATACATCTTGGAGATTGTTCTAAATCAGGACATATGGAGCTGTCTCATTCTAACAGGCTGCCTAGTATAATTTAAACTTTCTTGAAGTCATTTTGGCAGCTAAACCTCCCACCCCTTGCTCGCTGAAACTCGTTTCACTATTTGATTTTGGGCTATTATTAAGGACAGACAATGGCGTCCCGGGAACTCCAGGGACCTTATCTGGCGCGGGAAGCATTAAGGTTGATCCGCGCTTCCCGGCGCCCTCCATCCACGCCCCAGGTGCCCCGCGGGGGGCTTCAGGGTCATTATTTCCCTGTTGACACAGTGCCGGTGGGCGTGAGTTTGCTGTCTTGACTTCGTTCGTATTTTCGCAGCAAGTGACACTTGTAGAATGAAAGCGGCTCGGGAAACAGCGCTATCGGGGCGTGTTATCTCAGAAACCAAATATTTGATCATGAGCCCTATAGCGCGCAGTCGGGGGTTAGTCTGAGCAAGTCTGGTGAATGTGCACAGATGGAGCGAGGGCACCACCCCCGCCGCAGCTCCAGCCTCCGATCCCCGGGGCCGTCGCGGCTCCAGTCGGAAGCCGGGTCCCCTAGCCTCCCCCGGCGGCGTCTGCGGGGAGATCCCTCGCCACCCAATAGCCAGAAGCCGTGGTTTGCGCGCCACACGTGATAAACGCTGAAAATGGATTCTGCCAGTCCGGGACCTATCATTAAATATTTAAAATAGAAAGGTCGCAATGGCAACGTTTTTTCCCCCAGCTCCAGCCAGGAGAGCTGAGAGCGAGAGGGGCGCCCAGCGGTCAGGAAAGGGGCCCCGAGGCGCTCGGGGCGCGCAGCACGCTACGGCGGGCGCACCGCGAGGGGACAGGTAGGGCTTGCCAGGGCGGGGAAGGGAGCGCAACGCCCGCGATGCCAGGGCCAGGCAGGGCAGAGAGGGGCTCAGAAAGGGCGGGAAGTCAGCTTCGCGGAGCAGGGCCCTTTAAATGCAGGTAGCGCGGGCCCAGCCGCACAGGCACAGCTCACATGACCGAGCCCCGCGCTTTGAACTGAGCCGCGGCCCGCCCTGCGCCTCCCGCCCCAGAGGTGCAGTCGCCGACTAAACCCAGAGAGGGCTTCAGACCGGTCCCTACTTCCCCCGAACTCCCACAGGCCAGATGAGCCCGGCTCGCCCTACCTGGGGCGCGCGTAGCTTGGGGTCCACTAAGGCAGGGGGGTGGGAGGCCCTCGGCCAGGCACTGCCGTTTTGAAAACTACCGGGAGTGGAAAGATGGGCGGGCTGGATGTAAGACGCGGCGCCCTCCCTGTCCCAAAGCGACTCCTGGCCGAGACGCGCACCCCTCCCTCCCGCCCTCACTCACCGAGGTTGACGAAGCTCATGACCATGTCGGCGTCGGTGAGAAAGTGGCTGTCTTGCAGGCTGGCCAGAGGGGGGCCTTGGGTACTGAAGACGGCCTTGTAGGGGTAGGAGAAGCCCTGGCCGTCGGGCCCGCCGCCCTCCTCCACCGCCATGGCATTGTACAGGTCCAGCATGAACATGGGCGCCGAGTTGTGCTTGCCCTGGAGGTGGGGACGCGGGCGATGGGGCAAGCCCAAGATGGAGAGGATCTCGCGCTGCATCTCCCGCCGCTCCTGGCTGCGGAGGCGCCGGTGGATGAAGCTTGAGTGCACCTCGTTGTCCAGGCTGAAGTCGGCCAGGGCGGAGCGCAGCAGGAACAGGGGCGCCCAGAGCGCCACGAAGCTGTGGGGCGCCGCGACGCGCAGCGAGCGCACGTGCATCGCGCCGGCTCTACGCGCGACCCGGGCTCCGGGCACCCGGCACCGGGGCCCGCGCCGCCCCAGGTGACGGAGCGGGGCAGGCGGCCGTCCACGCCGCTCGGTCACTTGCTGTAGACGGGCCCCTCTGCGCCCGCGCCGGACATGGCCCCTCCCCGGCCGGCTGCGCTCTGCCCGGACCCCCGCCCCCGGCTCGGCGCTGGCCCCGGGGCCCCTCGCCCCGCACTCGCCCGGGCGCACCGCGGGGCTCGGAAACCGGCTCGAGCGCGAGCAAAGAGGCGGGCGCGGGTGGGAGGAGCAGCCAGCAAACCTAGGAGCCGGGAGAGCGAGCGCCGGGGTGGCAGCGAGGCGGCGGGCGAGCGGGCGCTCCTTTCTCCGGCTCCTCTCGCGCTCTTGCTCTTGGGCGGCGGGGACCCACCCTCTTCCGAACTCCGGCGCCCAGAAGAGGGGCCCCAGGTCGCTCTCCCGGCCCTGCGCACCCTTGATCGCACGAGAGGCCGCCTCGGGAGCCCCAGAGTGGTGCGCGCTGGGGCCTGAGAGGGGGAGGGGGAGGGGGAGGAGGAGGACGGGCTTCCGAGGGCCCCTCCCGCGTCGGCGGCCTCCCACCTGCCCTCGGCCCCGCCCTCCCCCCAGCGGCGCCCAATGGGTTCATTCATTCCTTCTAGTGCGCTCTGCAAATATTTACCCAGTGCCCACAGGGTGCCCAGCGCCGGGCCGGGCGCCGCGGGGATGCGGAGAGAGGAATCCGAGCCGGCCCTGCTTTCTCCGCACTCGTAGTCCGGACAGGGAAGGAGACCTGAGCGGCACCCATGGGATTTGCGCTGCGGTAGAGCAAGCTGGGGGAGTGTCGAGGAAACGCGGCGACACGAGAAGGCTTCCTGGCGGAGGTGGCACCCGGGGCCCTCTCGCCTCTTGCCCCCCCCCTCCCCGCCTTACTCCAGACACGCGGATCCCTCCCCGAACTTGTCGCCAGCTTGTTCTTGCACTTGCCAGTCCTTCTGCCTGGAACTCTCTCCCCTCCCAGTCTGCCTCCCCACCCCTGCCATCTGGCCAAGCCTCCACCTCCAGGTGCCACTCAGGTGCCACTTCCTCCCAGACCGTCGGAGATAAGGTCCCTTCCCCTCGTCACCCCCGCGCACACCTGTTCTATTTTCCTTAACTCCTCCTCCCACCGTCTGGCATTACTGAGTTATTCGTACCTTCTTTATTGCCTTGCCTTCCCACTAGAAACAGAGCTCCCTGGGGGCCGAGGTGGGACTCTCTCAGATGTCCTTGAGCCCAGGGCCTGGTAGCCACTGTGGCTGCACAGTCGTTATCTGTTGGATGACTGAAATTGCGTGAGCTGGAGAATTCCTCCCCACCTCCCTTCCTTGGGGGCCCAACCACTCCTCAGCCTGAGACCAGATATCCCGGCCCGGCACTACCTCTTTTTTTAAAAAATATTTATTTATTTTTTTAATTTATCTATTTATTTTGGTTGTGCCGGGTCTTAGTTGCAGCATGCGGGATCTTTAGTTGTGGCGTGCGGACTTCTTAGTTGCAGCATGCGAACTCTTAGTTGCAGCATGTGGACTCTCAGTTGCGGTATGCACGCGGATGTGGAATCTAGTTCTCCGATCAGGGATCGAACCCGGGCCCCCTGCATTGGGAGCGTGGAGCCTTGCCCACTGGACCACCAGGGAAGCCCCTCGGTCACTGTCTGACCCTCTCCACCAGCCCCCCTGCCTGGCCACACCTGAGGAGCGCACAGCTGGCCTTGCATCCAGTTCACCTCTGAGTGTCTGTGCCTGAGACCTCACCAGATGCTCCTGGCCTCCTTTCTTCCGTCCCCTCATTCATTCATCCCACGAATGACACTGAGCTGCCCACTTGGGGCCCAGCTCACACTGGGCATGGCACACAGGCGCCCCAGACAACCCAGAACCCGCCGTGGGACCCTGAGTAAACTACTGCTCTTCAGAGCCTCAGTTTCATTGTAAAACTGGGAGCAAAATAACACTTGACTCAGAGTGGCAGTGAGTACCGTGATCAAGTTCAATCTTGCCTCCTCCCTTTTCCGCCCCAAGGAGGCAAACCCACAAACCAGTGGTTGCCCGATGATGGGCTAGAGGAAGGGTGACCAGAGGGACTCTGGGATGAAAGGTGAAGGGCTGAGTCTGGGGACGGGGGTGTCCTTTAGGGGGAGGGGCCTGGCTAAGCCTCACTTGGGGGAGGCAGAAGCTCCAGGGCTGGTAAAGGGGAGACTGATCTTCCGGAGTTTTCTGCAGCATACAGGTGGTTCTGCCATGCAGCCTTTTGGGGGCTTCTGGACAAGACGGCAGCCTGAGGGTCCACATCGGTGGGGACAGGAGAGGCCAGAGGCCAGGCGAGGAGAAGAGGAACGCAAGGCTGTGGGTCCCAGTAGCCATTCCAGTCACATCCCGGCCCCATTACACAGGCTCCAGGCTGTGAGGTGGAGCGGGTCCTGGGCCCCCGGGCCCAGGGCTGGGCCTCTGCCCACCTGTCAATCAAGGCACTGTGAAAGCCCCCTCCACCTGCCTTCTTCCACTGACGGCTTCCTTCAACAAAGGTTTGTTGAGCACTTCCTGGGTGTCACGCAGGGTGGGCTCCACAGGCATGTGACCCGGTAGGTGCCCAGGCCCCCACGCTCACACCTGGCTTTAATGCTCTGCTATTGCCACATTGCAGCTCTTCGTGATCTACGAATAAAGGGTCCCCGCTTTCATTTTGCCCTGGGCTCTGCAAATTATGTGGCCCATCCCAGTGCCAGCACAGTGCTGGGCTGGAGGGGACAGGAGACAGTGAGCTCACCCAGTGGCCTCCACCACGAAGCTGGCTTTCAGGCCAGGGGAGACAAAGCGGGAAGCTGATACATGGTTTCGGGGTGGGAGGGGAGGCCACGCTCGGCCATCGGTTCTCTCAGGCAGGATGCAGTGCGCTCACCTGCTGGAGCCAGGCCAAGCGGGGCACACAGGAGGGTCGAGGGGGAGAGCCCCGGGTGGGCACTATGGAGAGTGAGAACCAACACAGGGACCTGCTGAGGCAGTCAGAGGGGCACTGGCTGGTCTAGTGTCCACCAGAGCACATGCAACCCAGATCATGTCAGCCTGTGATAGAGTGAAGGAGTGAATAAACAGGGAGCGGTGGAGGGAGGTGGGAAGGGGATCTCCTGGAGGAGATGCCATTGACCTGAGTCCTGGAAGGATGAGAAAGACTCGGCTTTGCCAGGGAGAGGCATCCCAGGCAGGGAGAGCAGCAAGTGCAAAACAGGCCCTGCAGAGCGAGGAACAGCCACCAGGCTCTGTCTCCCCAGAGCTCCCTGTGGCCCCGGGGTTGGCCTTCCAGGGACAAAGCCACTGCAACTGCTATGCCACCTCCAATGCCAGCTGAGATGAAGGAGGTTACTTTCTTCGTCTGAAATACTACTCGTCTGCAGCAGCCTTCTCTGCTTTTTAATCCACTGTCAAATCTCTTGGGGGGGATTTTAACAAGCAAGTGAGGCTGGGGGTGGAGGCGGCAGGTATTGGTGCTACCAGTCTACATCTGAAAACAACTGATTGGCTGGCGTCTGCGCTGTTCCCTCTCGGTCAGGGGAAGGCCCTGAAGCAAGGATTATGGTTTACCCTCTGTGCATCTCACCTGAGCCTGGCACACAGCAGGCACTCAATAAGTGCCTGTTGAATGAAGAGCAGTAAGCACAGCCAATACCTAAAGAGCACAGTGGATTGAGGGCTGACTGTGCAGGCACCAGGCTAAGGCATCTTGTGGAGCCCTCCCCCCGCCCACCTTGCTCTGGTATGCCATCTCTTCCCCTGCGAGATGGAGACGATACGCTTTCCATATCTGAGACCCGGAAGAGACCAGGTTCCCTCTGAACTCCCACCACCCCCTATTTAACCTGATTTTTCCTGTGATTCATGCCGGGGGTAGGGGGGCTCTTTATTTTCCCTGCTTCCTCCCTTAAAGGAGTCCCCCAGACTGCACCAGGCCCCCACTGAATGCTTGCTTGATTGCTGAATGAATGAATGCACTCATGCAAACAAGAATATCTGCCTGGAAGCACATCAGATGCTGGTTTGAGAGCGGAGGCCACCAGCAAAGGCTTCGAGATTATTTAGAGAAAGTCTTGGGTGGGAGCTGGCAGCCTGGGTTCACACGTCAGCCCTGCCACTTGCAGCCATGTACCAGGGATTTAACCTCTCTGCGCCTCAGTTCCCCCATCTGTATAATGGGGGGACAAATAGCACCTGTTTCCTAGGGTTGCTGGGAGGATTCAGAAGTTAATTCAACTCATGTAAAGGACTTTGCAAGGTGCCTGGGGCAGAGAGAAAGCATTTGATAGATGTTAGTTACCATCTGGATGAAAAGGAAAATATGTTAACAGGAAAGCCTCCTAAGCTTAAAAATAACAACACAACTTTTCATGATGGTCTGCTTTTTGGCCAAACAGAGGAAAGCAAATGTATCCTGACTAGGAGAGATCCAGGGCAGGGGCAAGAGCGTGAGAGCAGGAGAGAGCAGGGCAGAGAGGGAGAAGGGATCAGAGATGAAAGGGGGATCCCCACATTCCGATCTGTCTCATTGTCCCCCAGCTCCCACCCACCCCCCCCGGCCGCCCC